TTAATTCTTTCTTTGCTAACACACACATATGCTTTTTTCTTTCTAATTGAATTGAATCAATTTTAATTTTTTGTGGATTGTGTCCACCTACGAGTATTCAAAAATTTTAAACAATCTCATAAGTAAGAACAGAAATAACTCTATAAAGTGATTTCTAAAACACCGCGCCACGCGAGTTTATGTATTGATGTTCATAGAATTGCACATGCGAGAAGTTTCTCGTTCGTTTTATAAATCATTCTTCTATTCCATTCAATCAGGTGTATCATTCAATACGATTACTATACGAGCCTGACTTTTTTAAATATATGTGTCAAAGATGTCTCTCAATTATCAATGACATTTTTAGAATACTTATATTTATTTATTCATTATACGAATTATTATGTGTACGCTAAAAATAGCTTATGGTATTTAAAGAATTTTTTAAAAATATCGTAAGCTATTTTTAGCATTATGTGACAAAACGTATTGTAATGTTATTGAATGAATAACACTTGATTCAATAGGTGTTAAAAGAATGATTTAAAGCACTCACGGGAAACTTTCTCGTATGTACCAATCCTACAAGTATGGTATGTACCATATGTATATTAGTCCACGCAACGCGATTAAAGTAACTTCTGTCTCTTGATTATTATTATATGAGATTAGTTGAATACATTTGTTCATTTATTGATGTATAATTTATTTCATTGATGTATAAAACATAGTGCCAACAGATTTGAGAATGTAAAAATTAATAATTTTTGCGAATTTTAAATGCGATTACTAAATATATATTGATACTTACTTTAATTAATGTAAATTCTATAATTGCAATAAGTATTTGGAATTTAAGACTCTCATGAACTCGAGAGACGAGTTTTAAAAGCATATTTAATATTAATTTGCAAATAAATATTTAGTTTCGTCTTTTTCACTCGATAAAAACCGCTTAAATGAAGTCCTTAATGATTAATATATACCTGCCATTTACTTCGAAGTTAGTTATTGAACCAAGTTTTTACCTCAACTACTTCCGGTACTTACATCATGCTTTTAAAAGATAACTTTTATTGTTTTATTCTTTTACATTTTTATGACCCTTACGTATCGTTAAATATCATTATAATTTAGCCGCAATTTAATCAGAACAGAATTTAAATTCTCTTTTTTAATTATTAATTACAAATAATAGATAAGAATTATTTAAATAATTTATACTACAAGAAAGTTTTCTAATTAGTGGACTCTACTTTGGAATATCCCTTTCTCTTTTTTTCAAATGTTCCTTCTTCTTCTTTTGGCATAAAAAAATAATGAAAATTTGTTTAAGCAAACAGATGCAATATACTACTCATTTAAAATGAAATAATTTTATAACATGCGTGCAATGTTTTAAATCAACATAACAAACATATGTGAATTTAAATGAAAGTGTATCACAAAAATAGTTCTCAACTCTGTTGCCAAAAGTCCTTTTACGTGCGTTGTTTCGGGAAATGGAGGTTTGAACACCATTTCCGCTAAACGGAGACGTCGGCTTTGTAGAACTTTATCCGCTCACACATACGCGCAACGATCATCTCAAACATCACGAAAGCCATATATTGCAACGATTTGTAGTTCTCACCATTACGTTTCTCGAGGAAAATACGTTTTCCCACTGACGCTATCAACTCGCAATATCCAGGAAATGATATAATCGTGCTACGATGCGAACACAATGCGCAAACCATTTATTCAACCATTTATTCATGCATGATGAAAGTGAAGGAACTCATTATTTTCTTTTAAAAACCATCAATCATATATAGGTAGGTGAATCTGTATTATTATTGTATATTCTTAATACACAGCGAGAATTTTCTCTTAGAATTTACCCTGAAAATTATGGTAATTATGAAGCATGGTATTGGAAGAATTTGATAAGAGTTTCTCTGATTAATATGTACATAATAAAAAATATTAATATGTAGTAAAATTTACTATGTACATATTAATATTTTTTATTGTGATAAATATCGGAGAAACTCTTATAAAATTCTTCCAGTATCATATTGTCCTACGATTACCATGATTGTCAATTCTCAGAGAAAATTCTCTCCGTGTAGCAACGCGCGTAGGATGAACTGATGATTTTTTTCGATTCAAAATTTCAAGTATCTATCCCTATTTTTTTTCAAATTTCTCTCTCTTCTTCTCTTTTCATAATCATTATATACACTTATCTATAACCATGTTGAATTTTCCGCGACATGATTATGGAGTTTTTCCAAAATGTCCGAGTTACGATCACACAAATCGGAAATTTCACGTTCAAAACTTTTCCTCTAGGGATGCTGATCGAAACTGTCGGATGCGAATACTTTCTACTCGAACTGATTGAAACTTACAGGCCGATAATTGGATAGCGGTCGTCGCTCTATTGGGCCACGTATCCGAATAGACACAATCGTTGCTTTGTCGGACCGAGAGTGTATAGAGTGTATGTTAAGGGCTGATTTGGTAGCAGACGGTGCGCGATCCTGGATTTTTTTTATGAAGCGTTTCTAATAAAGAGTCTAGAGTGGATATCGCCGCGCATATATCGGAGATTTTATAGATACACTTGCCAAAAAATAATGATCTCAAAGGTTCAACTTCAAACAGCTATAAAGACTTTACTGTGGCAAAGCGTCGCGTATGGTGGACCGTTTAAAAGCATTCCACCAAATTTCTCCGCCACAGCTGCGTTTTATCCTTTTTTAGCTTTTACTCTCTTTCTTATCGCACGGCTAGTTTTTCCCCGCGTAGATTTATAGAATCTATTTTTTAAGAAGGAGCGTTTTATTGCGAGCTGTGCAATATTTTCAGACTTGAACAAGGGAGTGACTTATCCATTTGTCTTCGCGCAAAAATTGTTACGGATGAACAATTGCGAGACTCTTTGAAATATCAATTCTTTATACTTCTTCACCTTACATATAACATTCTAAGAGTTATGTGTATGTTCCATTTAATATTGGATTGGCAATTAATTATGCTATTAGCAACTAGAGATGATTATCTTTTCTGATTTTGAAATAATAATTGCTCATATTTTCGAAAAATTCGTAATATAATAGCATGTCAACTAAAGTTGTAGTGAACGCGAAATAAACATATATACATACATGTATGTGAGTGTTAATATACTTTATAATATAAAATTTTTTTATTTATTGAAATAAAAATAATATTGAGATAAATATATTATTTAAATATTATTCGATAGTAGAGAAAAATCAACATAACGATATTTATAAAAAAAATACGATTCGAATAATAGTATATAGCAGCAAAAATATTTGCAAAATTCTTTCCTTCAATAATTTTACAATATTAAAATAACGCAACTTGTATTTTTCATCTGTTGCATCTACAGTCAAAAAACAAAGTTTTTCTACCCTAAAAGCATAGCTATAAGCGAACAGTTGCATTTGTGTTTTTTAACAATACAGCGTGAGCGAAATTTTACATTTTTGGCCGCATATTTTATGCAGTGCAGATGTTCAAAATATTTTTCGCACATTTTTATATATATCCGTTTATGTTTTGCATATATAGTATTATATAGCATTTTTAGAATTGACATATGCAATGAAAATTTTAAAACATTAATTTTTCATAGCAATCTCAATGTTATGTATATTTCAAATAAATATGCGCTGGATTTGAATGCATAATGTGCATATATATTTTTCCTGTTTAATGCAGTTATTAATTTAATACAGTTATTTTATAAAAATAGATAAATGTTTTTTATGGTTTCTTGAAATATTTTTTATGATTTTTTGAAACATGCACATATGTGATCATTAACTATGAATCGTGTCTTTAAAATGGAATTGATGGCGTGTAAAATGATTAAAATTTTATTAATAACGTGATTGATATTGCATAGAGAAATAAATGTCTTTATAAATTTTATTGCAAGTGGTTGAACGGCAAGAGTATCGTCATTTTATTTACGAATGATGGTATCGAATTCATAAAACATATAATATGACGAATATGAATGCAGCCAGATTCCACTTTTAATACTCGTATCGATATGCAGCAGTATATCTGTGCATACTAGGACGTAATTTAAATGCATTAATCCTTTGAATGGCAAACTATGATGTATCATCATATCATACGTGTGTCTGGATTGCTAACGTCAATTTATCATTGTTGTTACAATATTCAAGTGATAAACAAGACAGGTTTACTTGAATTTTAGATAAAATTTTATAAACCGTTTTTTAAATGAATAATTATATACAAATTTATTTGGATTATAAAAAATGTTAATCTATTTATCGCAATATTATGACAAAAATTTTTTTATTCAAGTATATTAATGTCTGCGGTTGAATTTTTCTTCTTTCTTTCACACAAGTGTTTATTTTATATATGGCGTACGAGTATCGAAAATAAACTGTAAATTTGTTTTATCCGATATATTATATAAACAAGTGATAAAATCCCATCGAGGAAAAAGGAAAAAATTTTGTTCCAATTATTTTTTACAACCATCAAATAACTTTAAGGCTGTAAATGACAGAGAGGTGATGAAATATATACAGAAATATCATACATGTATAAATTTTTAACTTAAGTTAATGAGCAAAGTTCAAAGAATCAATTAATACAATGCTTATTGTCAATTAATATGACATTTGTTTAAACAATTATTATTATTCTTGTTACTATCGAAATAAGCATACGTATATATGATAATCGATTTACAAAAAGTATTAATTCAATTGAAAGATTTTTGAGACTTATACAAGAAATGTTCAAAGGGAAATACGCAATGGAAGAATGTGCGTGCATGTGTGTGAAATATGTAGAGCAAAAAGAAACAGTCGATGCGAATAACACTCGAGGCTGTATCTACTTTACGTGGCTTCGGAATCCGCTCAGCTTTGACAACGGACGTAGCGTGAGCAAACAAGCCGCGGAAAAACAAAACTCCAGCAGCGGGAAATCCGGAAGATGGTTATACTCACCAGTGCGCACCAATACGTTGAGCAGGACGTACAGAATGAGGGTGGTGGCTCGGTATCCGTGTATTATGATCATCAGCCACCTCGATGCGTTGAATCCCGCTGCGTGCCATAGACCCGTGCCCTCGTGCACCATATTTTTCCGGCTGGCCCGTTCAAACCCGCTTCAAAGCCGCCACCGTAGCTGTCGTGCGTCCCTCGCGTCCTCATTCACCAGCACTCTACGATGTAAACCATCACGACGGTGTAAACACGGAAGTTATCGGCGTGGTTTCGATTCGCGTCTGCGGAAACGTCGATTCTCCCGTCCGCTTGACGCGAATCGAGACGTCGAAAGAGTTTTCGTTTTACGAGAGAAACGGTTTGAACAAGTTAGTTGTTGAGAGTTGGATGCTTCAAAAATTTGATGCGACTTTTATTTACTCTGTTACAGCTTCTTGTTACATCTACAATTACACCAGACGTAAGTGTGAATTCTATCTCGTCTATGACGCATCACGTGGTTCTCTCGACAACATATAGGATTTGAAATCATTTTTCAGCGAAAATTTTTGAATTTGTATGTATCAGAATTATCTTGAAAAAACAGTGACACATTAATTTCAGAACTATATTAGTGAACTTTTTCTTAAATACTAGTCACTAAATACTAATAATTGATAAGATTCTCCTAATAATATAAATATTACGTGCAAATAATTGATATATCGTGCTGAGAAACAGTGTAATATTTTGGAATAAATAGAGTATTGTATTGAAGTACAATAGCGTATCATGTATCAATACAACTGTATTAATAATCGTGTTCATTGAATCAATCGAATAAGTGTGATCAATCAAAGTTTGATTATATTATAATTATATAATTTGCTTAATTAATTTAATATTTGTTTAAAGAGAACTAATTAACTACATATATATGTCGCGATTTTGTTTTGCGCATTCTTTGTCAATATGTTATATAGTACCTAGTTTGGAAAATTGTAAGACATTTTTAATCTTAACATATGACATTTCGCCGACTAATAGAGATTTAATATAATTTGAATATTGCTCAGGAAATATAAAGATATATTTTCAAAGATATAATTTTAATATAATTTTTACTTCACTTGTCGTATTTTTAATTTCTTATCAATATATGTAAAACTATGAACGTGAGAAGTTATTTCATCGTACATATATTATGTATATTAGAAACATATAAATTAAGATTGAAATGTTTACATCCAAATCTTACATTGGAATTGATCACCTAGTTCTACATTTGCGGTGAATCAGAATCGATCGGAAGGCATCTATTTGAGATGCGATATAGTTTGATGATCATCCTACCGTATCCGAGAAGGGAGTCGATGATATGCGTATTAATGCGAGTAAACAGGTTCGTTGATTTCGCGAAATTTCTCGACTCCATCGCGAGATATTAGACAAGTTTTCCGGATATAATTTCTATCAATATCGATAACGTTTCCGATCAGAGATATCTATCCGATATATCGAAGCTTAAATAAAAAATTTAAGAATTTTCTCGTGGATGCTTTGGTAAAACAGATTAGGGTCAATGGAGGTTTAAAGTAAAAAAAAAGTCTGCACTCTACATCATTATGTACCTAGAATATAGACGCAGATTTACCGGAAAAAAACCAGCGCAAGTCATTTAATATGTAAATATTTTCTTCAATATTTATTATGTAATTTTTCATTCAATAAATCTTTGATCTTTTAAACAATTGAAAAAAAGAATAATTAATTAAATTAAATTCAACAAAAGCAAATATAAAACATTCAAAAACCCAAAACTGAAATAAATAAATCAAATCAATCATTATTGTTTTGAATTTTTAGTTTTAATTGAAAAGAGAAATTAATGTAAAATGTGCAAACTGTTCCAAATTACTCAATGTATAAATATCATAAACATTGTTATATGCAATTTCTTTCTTGAAACTAGTTCGATGCATTGTGCCATGTTTTTTATATATTAAGGAATTGCGTGACACAAACCAAATTCCTAGTTGTCACATGCTCGAAAATTCCTTTCTCACGGAACAGGAGATATCAGAGCTCGTTTGCATGGAGGACATGTCTAGAGCGTGTCACCTCAACGCGAGCGATGCTGTTCGCCTAAATCTTGCTTCGCACCGCCTATCTCCTGTTCTTCTTCATTTGGTTGACGCTTTACCAACAATAATATAAGTCAGAAAATTTGTATTTTAGGTTACAAAAATTGACTAAATTATCTAAATTGACAACAAAGAAAAATCCTGTAGAAATATCAACCACATTTATAAATCAGCGTTCGTTTCATCGGATGCAACATAAGTGTAATAAGATTTGATATTGTTAATAATGTTAATATCTTATAATTTGTGATTTGTTTAATTAAGATATGTTTGATTAAAATGACCAAAAATTAATTTTCTTAATTTTCTTCTAAAATATTAAAAACATAAAAAATACATATGTATATACATATATATATAATCATACATATTTTAGTTATGCGTACAAAAATCTTGGGAAAAAGTTTCGCGTCTGCTTGTGACACCGCTTTGATATTTGTCCGGGAGCTCTATTTACCGGATACGCTGGATAATTTTCTGTTAACGAGCTTGATGTCGCGGAGCTTCTTTCAGAGCTCCATTCTTTGCTCGCGAGGACTTATCGCTCATTCTTTTTATGTGGTGTTTTTTTTCGGTCGGAAACGTGCAGGAACGAACCGTCGTGCGCAATCCTTCAGACAACGCGAACGCTTATTCAGTAATTAACCGCTACTTCCGGAAATAAATCGAATTTTTTTTGCAGCTTATTTGCACAACATCGTCGTAATTCCGGCGACTTGGAGAAAGAGAGCGGAGATTAATATCGAGTTCGAGAAAGGAACGTGAGATATTTCTTCAGGATTCTATACTACAACACTTTTTTCCTCCCTGTCCGATAACGTCCCCTAGTGTCACGTAAAACGACATTACACCGATGCAATTACTCGAAGACCACCATACCGGAAGCATGACGACATAGTGTACTAACGGTCGAACATCAAAGCTTTGCCTTCCTGACTGCTAATTTCGAATGCGAAACGCTGAATGAAAGGGTCGTAGGGACGTTTTACAGCACCGCTTCTATTCTAATGATCGGCCAAATCTCGCGCAAGCGTAACGTTACACCTTTTGTAAACGTTTGTTCTCATATATTTCAGTACCTCTTGAACATTATTCCGATCGTTTTTTATATCGAGATCAAAAACGTCAATTTACAGAAAGATTCCTTTTGTAATTTTGCATTGTCGATTAATAATTATATTATTCTACATTTGATATTATATCATTTTCAAATCGACCTCGCTATTTTGTAAGCCGTGAAAACAAAAGCAAATAAGCAAAGGCAATATTTAATGTATCAGAGTAAAGTCAAATATTTTAATTTGCCAATGTATGTACAAAGTAAAGTAAGTCCCATTGCAGTTGAAGCAACCACACACAGTAAATCTTGACGTAGGCGTTTCATTTCAAGTAAACAGTCGCTAACAATTGACTTGACTCGCACTTTGTGTTCAATGTAAACTTAGTCGAGAATACGAGCCGAAAAGAGATTCAGTAGAAGAGATACTGTCAACTTCGTCAGTTGAAACTCGACATGAAATTCAGCAGCCTCGTAAATGTAACGTTAGCTATATAAAGGATCGGCCGCATACTTCGAATACTATGTAGCTTGAACACTATGTATAACTTTCTTGATATCTTCAAGTTCAACAAGTTCTTCGACATACGAATCCGTCCGCTCTCACCGGGAACTTAGGCGTCGACGTAGGAAAGGTATAGACGTTTCCAAAGGAAGTTCCATTTTCTCCAGGGGTGTTTCCGAGGAATATCCCCCGCAGCTCTCGGATTAGACCGTGTTACCGCTACTGGTGCGATGATATCTCTCATCTCAGACACGATATTAACTTCGTCACCTTCGACGAGATGATAACTTCATCACCTAATGCGCAACGCTAACCGCGTTAACGATTCGCCAGATCTCGAAGCTCTCGTCTTAACCCGATGTTCACAGCGCGGCGATACGATGCGATAGTTCAAACTGGCGCAATGACCATAATCATAAGATTTCCGTATACGTAGCTCCTATATACGGCGCGATCTACCGACTGCGTCTTCGCCTCGTTGCGGAGGCAGCCCATCTCTCCCATCCCGCCTTTCGGAACTACTCCGATAACTTCCGCGCGCTTACGTTTTGTAAGCGCTAGTCGGGTCGCTCGTTACAGCGAGCCCTCTTTGCAACGGGCACTTCCGTATAAGAGAGCGGGAAAGAAACTTCGGCTTTCCGCTTCGCCGACGTGCCGTGTGTATTTCTCGCGAGAGCGTTGGAAATAACGGAGTAGACACATGTCGGTACACGGGGCGTAACCTTCCCGGTTTTCGCTCTCGTGACCCAGAAGAAGCTTTTCAGCGAGCGCCCGAGCGTTCACCAACTCCGCGCCGCGCCGAGAAGATGCCGTGCGTGCGGATCTTCCATTTGGCAGCTTGCATTTTGCTCTACGTCCTTCTCCTCCTGGAAACCAGGAACTTTGATGTCTCGCTCCGAGAAGCAGCGTCGTTACTGAGTAAAGAGTAGAAGAAACAACACGTGGCGATGCGCCTCGCCGCAGCGTCGTCGTACTTGAAGATTCCCGTAAAGAAGAGTGTTTTAAGAGAGTTTGAATGAAGAAGTAACACGAGAAGACGAAAGGATGAGAGTAAAGGGAGAAAGAGAGCGAGTGGAAAGAGGATTTTCGAGGATCCTTCAAGTGTTCATATTTCTTGTCTCGCGACAGTTTAATAAGAATAATAGTTGCTTTACCGCATCGAGAGACTTTTCAGAGGAAATTATGTATCCCCAGCATATATATATATATATATATATATATATATATATATATATATACGAAAGCATAAAAAATACAACTTACTAGTTATTAACAATATTTTTTACCGAATTATCGCTCAAACGTGTTTGTGTATTACACAAATAGAAAAAACCCGTATTACATAAAATTCTAAACTTTGGCGACTATCATATTTAATAAGTTATTTTATATATACAGTACACACTCATACTTTGAATTCGAATAGTCCATTAATATAATGTATTGTGTAAAATATATATATATATATATATATATATTTCATTTACACAGTATTATGCTAGTGAACTATTTAAATTCGTGTCACGTAATGTT